TGATATGCACTCAGAATAGAGATATACAAGACTAAATTGTTTTTTCTGGACTTCTCTCCGGAGTTTATTTTGATAGATATAATTTGTATAAGATGATTTGATAAAAAATAATAGTACTTAGTTCCGATCTGTTCTAATATTCATTCGGTTCTGGTAAATCTTCGAATATTAATTCCATGCAACTATAAATCAGAGTTTATTAAGATTGAAAAATTTAATTTCAAATAAATCTATCAGAAAAATTGAAATTTATTTCCTTTTTTTTTCTCCATAGGTATCTCCTTTGCGAGAGCTGAACAGATCGTTTTAGTCTCTGTATGTGGATTTTCAATGGAATTTTTATAGTTAATCATTTTCGTTTTGTTTTTGTTTTGATAGTTGACTGTTCTACATGATACTAAGAATGAATAGGTGCCTTCTCTTCATTCACACTCATTTGCGCATGAAGAAATCAATTCATTATTTCGAGTGATAATCCTCAAATAATTGAATTTATTATTTAAATTAATATTATCGTATATCATTCTTTCAAAAAAAAAAGTTAAGATAGAATTTGTTCGATGATGATGATGATCTGTCTTATAACAGAAGTGTCGTTCTAGACTTATCGATTGATTGGTTGATTGATTAGTCAAGATAAAATATCAATACAACAGGATTAACTATGAATTAGTAGAAGTTAGTTTGAAACTACTTGATAGACTTTAATTGTTTTGTTTTATAATTATTATCGAGATATTAATAATTTTATAGACATAATTTGTTGTAAGAATAATTCATATATATATATATATATTTGTCTCGATTAGAAAATTTCGAGAACATGTCGATGGAAAGTATATCATACATGACTTGTCTAGGTCATGTATGATATATTGTTTTATATTAATGATTTACTATAGTTGTATACGAAACATTCTTATTTTTTTCAAGATATAAATACAAATTAAAAAATAAAATTGAATTCCTAAAAATAATGGAAATGTATACAGATATGATTATCTTTTTATCATTATTAAATGTATTATGGTAGAATATGTTATTTATTCTATATTATTAATAACTTTCTTTCGATTAGAATCGATTTGTTTTATCTTTAATAAATCATTATTTATTTTCTTTAGTATATTCAACGTTATGCAGGAGAAAAAATTGGTTTAACTTATCTTATATCTATGCTTAATCAAACAGCAATAATTAATTGTAATTCAAAATGTGAATTAGAAGAAATTTGGATATGTATAAATCGTAATCATCATACAGGTTTACCAAATGAATTAATATCATGTCCATTAGGTGCACGTAATACAAGTGATTCATGTAAAAAAGCTCGATGTGAATATGTATTTATTCCATTACGAAATAAATTACAATCAAATAATACCGGTGAAAATTCTACTCAAATCATATGGATAAAATTTATTCTCATTATTTTTATATTTACTCTTTTAAAACTTGTTCTCTTTTTTTGTGGTGGTTTTTATGCATTTTTTTATTCTTTTTAGTGAATTATATACTATCTTTATTGCTAGCATTAGTGTATCTATGTAAACTGAAGTATAATTCTGTTTCTATAAATCTCGTTTATAAATAAAAATAAATGATATGTCGTATATTATTATTATTATGTTTATATCAAACATGGGAGGTGAACAATAAAAAGAAAAAGAATAAGAATTAAAAAAAAAAGGGATAAAAATTGTTATAATTTTTTGTTTCATTCGTTATTCTTTTAATGAGGTTTAGGTTCGGCTGCTGCCTTTTTTATTGATGCAATATCATTTTCGGTTATTTCAACTAGTTGTTTAATTTGTTGTGGTTCATTCAGTAAAGCCAAATAAAGTTGACCAATTCTTGGTCGTATTGGTTCAGGTGCTGCTACTAATTTATGAGTTTTTAGATCAGTTATCTGACCACCACTACCTGTTTGCATATAATGAAAATGTGGTTCTGCATGTTCGATTGGTGAACCACGTATTTGATCAAATTTGTCAAATTCAAGTGTATAATGATCTGTTGGTGGCAAAGATCGTGTTGACATTCCTAAGTACATCAATATATACATATATGTATAATAATATAAATAGACTTTCATCTGCTTATTTTTTTAAAGATACAAACCTTTGGCATAATCAGTTAAAGGACCAATAAATGCAAAATCAGCATTAACAATTAATTTAAGAGCTTCAGCTCGACCGGTAAGAATACCCATGATTATTTTAAAATCTAAACAAGAAATAGTTAAATATAAACGGTTACTAATCTTTGAGTATTTAAAGGTCAATATATTCTTACTTTTCTTGTTCTACTAACAGGTCTTTTTTTTCTCTTGTCGACAACTAGAACTCTCTCTTTCTTTTTGCTTAATGATCGAACATTATCTGTACATTCTATTTTTCTCTTTCTCTCTCTCTGTCTCTCTCTCTCTGTTTTGCGTGCGTCATCTTACTCTTTTTTTTTCTGAGATCATAGAAATCGCTCTTTAATTACATTTCTATCTCTATCCATACCAATCATAGAAGAAAATTGTTTATGCATGTCTTTTTTTGGAGTGGAAGCTATAACTATACATATATATATATGTATTCTCAGAACAGCACGTGCATCCTTCTTCGTTTTTTTTCTCTACTACGAAATAGATAGGTGATGACAAATTACTGTACCAAGCGTTGGCAAGTTGTATATACACTTCTACTAGATTGACACACTACGATTATTACAAGTTAACCTTCTATGACTAAATATCTGCTTGACCGAATTAAGAATGTTGTTTTTTTTCTCGTCTTGTTCGTCTATTACTTCTTAAAGGTCAAGCCCATCATCAAATGTCAAAATAAAAAAAAAAACTTATTGAACAATAAAAAAAAGAAATTATTAAGAAAATAAATACTACCTACCAAGGATTTGCTTACGTGTTTCTATCTAATACAGTTATATAGCTAGGATACTTATTAACGATACGTCAATTGAATATACAGGAAAGAAACTATGAGACAGCTGGATGCATCATTACAAACATCATCCGACCGAATAACGTTTATTTATCTAGATTACAAGAAATAAGAGATACTCAGCCGGCCAAGTGATATTCAATACACCATACTGTTATCGTCATAATTGTGCTTATGTGGCGATCAAAGTAGTGACGTTAAGCTTATTAGAAAATGCCTTTTGGATCTAACGTATACGTGCATGTATATATATGTATATACATGTACAATGGCTTTCGTCATCAACAAGAACAAAATGTGATAGATAGATCGAACGACCAGCATAAATATTCAGTGACAGGTCGGTCGTCGTTTGTCAACGACATCATCCCCTATACAAGTTGCCATTCAATCATCATTAGCCTATGTTTATGTGTTCGAGTACTTGCTTCTTCTTTTTATTTTTTTTAGTACACACGTGTGTTGTAAGTAAGAACATCTGTATACTATTAGTCTTTTAGCTTCTTCAATTAATTTCAAGAACTTTTCTTTCAATATCCGTAAAATTTTGGCAAAAGGAATTTATATGTAAACATTTATCTATTATTAATTGATGATAAGATATTCATTTTATGAATGTATTATAATGTTTATTTAATATATGCAGAATGATATTAATTTAATTTAATTAATATGAGATATGCGAGATCTAACAATAAAAGTTTATTGAGACTACAAGACAAGGAAAATAGTTGTTCGAATTTGGAACTAAAAATTGTAATTAAATGATCTTTGATTGTTTACCGAATTATATTATAAATTACATCAATTAAAACAAAATTAAGGAGAAATGACAAGAAAAAAATAATGTTCGTCGACTAATGAGAGAACTGTTTCCGATGTCAAAATCGATTTTCGACTGAGACAATGTTTATTTGATGAATGCTAGAGTGTAATATAAAAGTTTAGAATGGTTTGATTGTCGACGTCTTCATTATATAAATGTCAAAAGTTTTTACTGTAGATTTCAACAAAAAGCTTTGCTTTCCATCAGATCACGTGAACTATTGACTTTCAAGTTTGAACTTCAAATTAGTTCATTGAACAAGTTATAACTTTTCTAGTATCTTCTATCTTGAAATATTCAATAGTTGAAATTCTTTCATGTGTAAAAGTAAATTTTGCTCAAATATTTACATTTTCAGAAAGGAAATATTACATAATCAATTAATCTCAATCTCATTAAGAATTTTGTTCGTACAGGTTAAAGTTCAAACTCGGAAGTCAATAGTCCTTGTGATCTAAGGGAGACTACAGCTTTTTGTTGAAAAATTAGGTGAAATTTAGATATTTAGTTTCAGTCGAAAAAATGTTCTTTTGTCAAAATATTGAATTTACAAAAATAGATCTTTGCAACAAAAATTGAATTCACTTGAAAATTCAATATCTTGACAGAAGAACATTCTTTTCAGTTGAAACTTTCACGATATTCTAAGAGTGATTACGCGTTTTTTATATAGGCAAAATTTTAGATCGAAACTTCGTGATTTCATTTTTCAGGAACAACCTACAAACAAATAAAAAATCCGGTAAGCCAGTCATAACTCGGCGCCAAAGGTCCATGGGGACGAATCCTTTTAGAGTTTTGCTAGTCTAACTGGAATCTGAATGTAGCTCTAATATGAGCTCAAACAGTGGATGTCAATTGGGCTAATTTTCTTGTCAGCCCGGAGCAAAACTAATAAAACTCTGTCCTGTCTATCTCTATAAAACTGATAAGGATAAACTATACGTAGATTTTTATTTCAATAGCATTATATAATTAACTAATCAGTTGAGTATAGATTTTTCCATCGTATTCAACATAGTTTAAGCAAAAAGAAAACAAATAGTTTTATATTGTTTGCGTTTATTATGATAATTGTGATATAATGTTGAATTTAATGTTATTTAAAATAAATATGTGAGAAAAAAAAAAGATTTATTTCATTTATTATTTAATGAAAGAAAAAAGAAAACTTTATAGCTAATAAAGAGAAAATTGTTTTTATTTTTAATAGTTGTAAATTATTACGAATTATCTAAAGGTGGCATAAGAAGAGGTGCACTTGATTCAAAATCTTCTTGTGGTTTTATTTCAAGATTATATTTATCTAATTGTTTCGTTGTACTATCATTTAATATATATCTATGACTTCCATCAATAGCCCGTCGTATTGGTGGTGATTCCCTATCTGTAGTTGTTGATTTATAATTTTCAATAAATTCATCGACTGCTTCCCAAAAAGTACTGCTAGTATTCGGATTAGCTATAACATGCGTTATCAATGGTGGAAAGCCGGATGATTCAAGTTGTGAACTATATTGAACTAAAGCGTTAAGATCATTATGCTGTAATGTCGTCATAGGCACCTAAGATAAGGGAGAAATGATATATTTTATTTTCATTATCTTAATTCAATAAAAACCTCAGAAAGATTTTCTTGATCTGAATGATTAAGTTCTGGACTACTCCATCCTACTGATGAATTCGGTGTATCATTAATTTGTGCTGATGATGCAACAATTTGAGAACGAGGCGAAAGTGTACGTCGATGTGCCAATTCATTTTCGTATACTGGTGTTTGATCCAATGATATTGATGTGTATGATACCGGTGAAGCAAGTATTAAAGATGAAGTTTGTAATTCGGTAGACTCTATTGGAACAAATACTGATGACATTGATTCCATTAATGGACTATCGCGTGTAATATCTTCAATAGCGGGTGGTGCTGATGAAGTTTTTGAATCAACATATGTATTCAATCGTGATGTTGGTAGTTCTGATGGAGGTTTTGAATCAACATATGTATTCAATGGTGATCTTGGTGGTACTAATGAAGATTTTGAACTGACGTATCCTTTTCCTGTTGATACAAAGGATGGAGATTTTGTATCAACGTATGAATTTACTAGAGCTATTGGTGCAATTGGTGCAATTGGTGTAAGTCTTAAATCAACATATGAACTCGTTGGTGGTGATGGTGTCG